CGCCGAACATTTATAAATCACCTCCATTCTAAAAAGAAAAACATGCCTGCCCGCTTTCACGACCAGGAAGTACATTCAAAACTTGCCGGGAAACGACGCCTGTCTTCCTTCCTGGACAACCTGGTATTCCAGCACCGCCCCGAAGTTAAAAAGGTAGGCCTTACCTATATCTTCTGCACGGATAAAGCCCTGTTGACGATCAATCAGCAATTCCTGGACCATGATACGTTTACAGATATTGTAACGTTTGACCTGTCTGAAAAAGATCAGGAACTGACCGGAGAATTGTATATCAGCACAGAACGCATTGCAGAAAATGCAGCCAAGTTTAAAACAACTTACCAAACGGAATTACATCGCGTAATATTTCACGGAGCGTTGCATCTTTGCGGATTCAAAGACAAAACAAAAAAAGACCAGGAGGAAATGCGGGGCCAGGAAGAGCGTTGCCTGCAGGAATGGTTTCATACAAATAAGTAAATGAGAGCAGAAAGATTATATGAAGACGAGGACCTGATCATCGTTAATAAACCATCCGGCGTATTAGTATTGCCAGACCGTTTTAATGCGGAGCTGCTGTCCCTGCATCGCCAGTTACAGGTAGAGCTGGGCCAGCAGCTGTGGGTGATACACCGGATAGACCGCGATACAAGCGGCGTTATCTGTTTTGCTAAAAATGAAGTGGCGCACAAATACATGTCGGCCCTCTTCCAGGAGCATCATATCGGTAAGTTTTATGCGGGCCTGGTACATGGCAGGGTACAACCCGAGATGGGCCGGATTGAAGCGGCAATTATGGAACACCCGGTACAAAAAGGCAAGATGGTCACTTCGGCAAAGGGCAAACCTTCGGTAACCGATTACCGCGTGGTCACACAATGGTCGTTATACGCCCTGATGCAGTTCCAGATACATACCGGCCGTACCCACCAGATAAGGGTGCATATGCAGTCGATAGGTCACAGCATTATCTGTGATGAACTTTATAGCGACGGCAAACCTTTCTTACTAAGCAATATTAAAAAGAGATACAACCTTTCTAAAAATGAAGAAGAAGAAAAGCCGCTGCTGAATCGCCTGGCGCTTCATGCTTATAAGCTGGTCTTCAATAAACAGAATGGCGAAGAGGTTGTGGTAGAAGCACCGCTGCCCAAAGACATGACGGCCTGCATCAACCAGCTCAATAAATGGAATAAGCTGGCTTAAGGCAGCTACGTTACAATCATCCGATACTTTATTACAATACCAGAAACAATCAACGATTATGCATACTTCAGAAATTAAGATCCAGGTGCAACTGGACGATGAGAAAATGCCGGAAACACTTCATTGGCAGGCACCAGATGGCGGCGTACCCGAATTGCAGGAAACCAAGGCCGTATTGTTGGGCTTATGGGACGGACAAGAAAAGTCGGCACTGCGCATCGACCTGTGGACCAAGAAAATGATGGTGGATGAAATGGCTGATTTCTTCTTCCA